AACTTCACAACGAGACAGGAATTTAAGATGAGAGATTCATGCAGTTAATCATGATATGTGGAGGTGTTCTATGCCCCCACATTGAGCTTTATTATCTGTGTTTTAATTGAAAGGACAGGAGATGGGAGGGGAAGGAAATAGGAGGCAGCCAATTTGGTGCCCGCACTTACCTGCAACGCTGTAGGTGACCTCCCCGGCGTAGTGCAGGAGCCGGAACTCTTCCCTGCCCAGGGACTTGCGAGTCTTCTGGTCAGCCAGCTTGTGCCTGGTGAGAAAACAAGGAAGCTGCATGAGGAACAAGCAGCTGGGAACCCACCTCAAACCCCACTGCAGTATCGGACCCCTGAGTGAGACTATATGAGCTCAAGGGGGAAAATATATCACCCTTGCTGATCTTCAGGACTGAAAATAAAAAGAGTCAGTCACCAACCAGGAAGTCAGCTTCCAGTCATAAAATCTGTTTACATTTCTTTCAAATAAAGGAACTTTCAGCTTCCTGGCAGCAAGCTGGTATGCTCCTGGGACTTGGATAAGGGCAAAGCACTGTTTGATAGGAAGGGACAGGACATTTGGAGCTGCAGTGTTTTAAATAATCACTCCAAAGCTGAAGTGAATAGTCTTGAGAGCCACAAACATGGAATTCACACCAATTAAACCAGAGAGATGGCAATGGGGATATTTTACCAAAGTCAAGGAGAAGATCACCTGGGAAGCAGACACACACAGTGGTGAATGAGTGTGATATTGAACTCTCAGGCACACCAATTCCAAAAACACCAGCACTGCAGCATTACTAAAATCACTCTAACACATATACCTCCCTCTGACCACTTTTATGAGCAGAATTCTGCTTCATGCTCTAGTTAGTCCTTTGCTAGACTTGAGTCATCTTTCCCCAGGAAGCCATCAAATGCTGGGGAATGACATGGCCTAACACTCTGAGGCAGAAGAGGAAAAGCAGAGCTCATCACACCTAGAGTATTAGGCCAGATCTTACAGCGGCCAAGAAACTGCAAGCCTGCAAATTCCTTGGACACATTAGCACAGGGATGCCAGGAAGAGATAAGCAAAGAGGGAAGAGAGTAAGGAATGTTTTATTGCTCCTATTGTATTTTGAAGGTTAGTCTTCAAAAAATCAAGGCAACTGGTATCAATAGCTCTGTCACACACTTGGATCCTGCTAGTATAACTGTCCTCAGCTATGGGAACACTCACGTGAGAAAATGAGGGTGATTCTTCACAGTTTCCTCAAGCTTCTCCAAGAATGTCATATCTGTGGCATCCCCTGGTCTCAGACACTCTTCATCCTAAAAAGGAGTTGGCAAATACATGCACTCCAGCAGTGACTTCTTCACAGGCTCATCAGCATATGGGCCACCTCTAATTCTATCTCACTGAAACACCATCTTCATTGGGATCTTTGAACTTATCACACCTGCACTTCACTTAGTTCAGCAAACGAGAATTGTTGAGCTGAGAAGGAGAATTCCTTCTAAACTGCCTGACTGGAAGCTGCTTTCCTGAGAGCAGGTGAAGATGATACACATGGACCTGTGATGGTGTCACTGTTCTGTGTACTAGTGCTCTGCCCTCCAGCAGGAACTATCTTTATTTAAACTTTCGTCTTTCCCTTCTAGGTTATTTTCTCCTTGTTTTCCACCATGCTGCCCCAAGATTTTCATTTGAAAAGCTGTTGTCAACTCACCAAAATAGAAATGATGCCTTTGAATTTCTCTTCCACCAAATCACAAATGATTTTGTTATTGAAGTACTGAACTGGTTCCCACTGCAAAGACAAGAAATCACACTTGAATGACAACAATCCTAGACTGCCAAAAAAACCATGCAAAATTCAGTATATTTCAGACAACACATAATTTAAGTAGTCTTTCTGTCAAATTTGAAACCTAAAGCTTTCTCACTCATAACATTTGTTTTCTTAATGCTCCTGTCAAGTGCGTTCCCTCCCTTTCTATCAAAGACTAAAATGGCATTACTCAATTCCAGATTTTTCACCTACTGATACCAACACAGTTGAAAAAGAAAGGAAAAGCTCCTTTAAGCATTTAGTTTGGAGAACATTGTTATTAGCAGCTCCATGTCTAACCATCTGTCTTCTGGCCCACAGAAGGTGATACAAAGAAGAGAGAGGAAGGGTGGTGATGCTGGCTCTTACCGCTATGCCCTCTGACTCGTATTCCTCTTGTTCTGATTTTAAAGTGAGCTCTATGAAGAGCTGTTGCAATTTTTCATTACAATAATTAATACAAAATTGCTCAAAGCTGCAGACAAAAAACAAAGAAAAATAATCACTAACACTGCACTGCTGCACTGCAGGTAGCATAAGTTATAATCAGTTGACAGTTATAATCAGTTGACATGAATATATCTATGTTTAAATCAAGAGAAATATAAGAGATTTAGTGAATGTATAAATTTATTACATTTATTATTTAGTGAATCTCATGAAACAGTTCCAGAAGGAATGGAAAATAGACATGAAAGGTGATACAGAGGAAAACAAAAACTCTTAAGAAAGGCCCACAAATATCATCAATTGGAGTGTCTGGGTTCCTTGCTATCTGTCCAGAGTTGGGTTCCACACTGACATAATCTCTTAAATTGTTCAATAATTGTGTTTTCTCATTAACACTTCCACAAAAAGAAAGCAGAGCAATAGTCATAACAGTACTAGAGATCTATACAAAAGCATGGTTTAAGATATTATATGAATATGCCCCCCAAAAACAACAGTCTCTTTAAATACCAGGATGATAAATAATTCTAAATGCTAAGTATTAGCTGGATGTCTCATATATTAAAAGCTCCTACTTGTGATGTGGAGCTTAGGCTTTTCAGCTGCCCTGTGATGATCAGTTTTCAGCTGACTTCCTCAAGTAGAAACATCACCTCTTTCTCTCTTACTAAGAAGTACCAGACATGGAAAATGTCTTACTTTGCATTGGAGAAAAATACTCTGAGCACTAAGTCATGCACGGCTTACTCAAAACACAAAGAGACTGATAGAAACTAACCTGTTGTGCTGGAAAACTTCAAATCCATAGATATCAAGCAATCCTAAAACTGTGGTACTTCTCCAGCCTGGAAACTCTCCCTCCTGCAATAGGGCAAAAAATAAATGTTCATATATAGTCATGCTATGATGCCTCAATGATCTACCCCATTTAATTAGAGTATTTACTCCTTACCCTCTTCTTAGTGGAATACAAATTCATTTGGAAATTACTGTATGTATGCATGGTACTGTGGCACTGAACTCAGCACTTCTCCGCTTTGCAGCTACAAAGTTTGAACACCTTTTCACACTTGGTTGTATGTCAAAAAAAAAAAAAAAAGGTTCATTTACCTTATAAGCAAGAGACTTGTTGACCTTGTTCACGAGCCAGGAGAAAGTGCGTCCATATATTGCCTTAGCAAGAGCATCCCTTGCATAGGCTGCCTGCTCCAAGTTCAGAGGACTGATTAACTGTATGCAGAAGGAGAAGGAAAATAAAAAAAAAGCCCTTCGGCAGCCATTCCACTGAGAGATTAAGTCTCCCTAGTTCATTGTTAATAAACAGCCACTTAACAGCATCCTGTTTGGGCTCAGCTCACATCGCTGTCTCCCAGCCGCGCTGGCTGAGTCACCATTAGGTTAGATGGGACTGGCACTGACAACCTCCTTTGAGAAGTGTGAGAAATGAACTGTGTGGCTTTGGCACGAGAGCTGCTGGCTGCTCGCTGGCTTTAACTCCCTATGCCCCCCGAGCCCGCAGGGCATCTTCTTACCTCCTCCCCTTTTGCTATGATCTTCTTGTGGATCAGCGAGTCTCGAAGGACAGAGCCCTCAACTGCTAGAAGCTGCAAAGCAGGAGAATATTAACTCTAGTAAGTCTTACTGACTTACTCTATTAAGTATTACTTAATATTTTAAGTAGACTAAGTTTTGTGTAGTTTTGTGTTTTTGTGTATTAAGTAGACTAGACTTAGTCCACAAAACTACAATCCAGTGAAATCATCTTCTACTCCCCATTTAAACCGGCAAGACTTTTCATGTCAATCCCTCCTTTCCTCCCACCCAAAAACTCCTTTCTGCCAGTGATATGATCTAACAAAAACACGACCACACAGGCTTGACTATTCTTGCCCAAAGAACTGACTGAGCAGAATCACAAGGGCCCTTCTTTCTTCAAGTCTTCTCCAGAGAAGGACTATTCTTGCCCCAGTTTTAAAAGGCAAAATCTCAGCCAGCGGTTCAGCAGTGGATTGAGTGGTAAATTGTTAAATAAGAAGAGTTTTAATGTTAATGTTGGCACTGTATTTAGGTCAAGGAAGAGTAATTTTGCAACAGAAGGCCGAAATCATATTCCAAAAAGAAAAAAGGCACCAAGTTCAAAATACAGAAAACCTCTCTAATGCAATTTTTATGTAATGTATCTCTAATAGATGATTCTTACCCTAGCCAGATATTTAATCTGATTCTCTGTAGTCACTTGAGCATTTCCTTGCTCATCAGCAGCAAACTGCACATTCCCCAGATGCAGAACACTAGCCACAATGCTCAGCAAATCCTAGGAACCAACATGGAGAAATCAGCATTATGAGTCAGAAACAAGTACGGAAAAAGCATATCTACTGAAGTCAGGGAGATTTTTGTGTTAATTATCCTAATTACCAGGCCATACATTTTGTTTCAGGATTTTTGCAGAGAATACATTCATTGCAAAGACTGCTCTCGGTCAGAAATAACAAACTGAAGCAAGAAGAACAGCTTTGCCATCAGACATGTCTTACCTCCACCTCGTTGTCATTGAAGCTTATAATGGTCAAGGCCCTTCGCACAATCTTCCAATCATTTTTGTCACTTATGGAACTCACCCTTGCACACTGACCCTAAAAAACAGTGTTAGAAAAAAATATATTGTCAGTGACAGATTACTTTTGCTGAATGCATTTCTGCCATAAGCTTCTTTTTATAGCAGAATCATTGCAGGTATTTTTGAAGTGAGGGAAGGAAGCTACAAACTCAACTGAGAATATATTTGTCCTATAGTATAAAGCCAGGAATGCTTGTTAGTTAATGCAAACCTTTACTAGGTAATGGTACTGCTGGGGATTCTTTTCGAGGCCTAGCCTTCGCAGCAAGTCCTCTTCCCCTCCTTCTAGCAGCTGGTAGAAAATGTGGAAATTCCTCTCTCCGTGATTCTGGTGCACAACGCGAGACTTTTCCAGGAGGTAGTTCAAGATGTGGCCCCCAACAGGTGCCCCCTAAATCAAACCAGATAAATTGGAAGAGCTCAGAGAGAGGAAAATCTTCAGACAAAAACAACATAAAATGACAACCTACAAAAGCAAGAAAAATACTGTCATTTTACATCACAATCTGTATCTCTCATATAGCAAATACACAGTGATAACTGGAGTTTTGAAGTGTATGCAAAATGAGACATAAAATGAAAATATAACACCATTATATGGATCACTGCTACAGCACATACTGAATACTTTCACTTTTACGTTCCCCTTTTCAGAAGGGATTTGACATAAAAGAAGCAAAAAGATGAGTGTGGAAGGACTACATATTGTGTTTTAAAAAGGGACGTGTGTTCTAAAACTCCTCTGCAACCAAATTTTGCCAGACACAGATGCTATTTATGTGGTCTGCAGAGAAATGCAAACCAATAGCTCCACGCAGGCATCAGTGCAAGCAGAGGCAACAAAGTCCTCCTATGACTGGGACCAGTTCTGAAGTATAGAACAGATTTCAAGTTACCCTGTAATCAAACTGCACATCCATGTATTTTCCAAATCGGCTGGAGTTATCATTCCGGAGGGTTTTTGCATTTCCAAAGGCCTGAAATGAGGATGTATTAAGAGATAGAAAAACAAAACAAAACAACAAAAAAGAGAATTATAAACACTTTGGTGAAGCTCCCAGGTGCTTATGTATGGCAATTAAAGCCCAATTTCCCACTTTGGCAAGGGAAACCAAGAAGGAAACATGGAACTTCCCAAATGCTAGTGTTGATGTTTATACCCAATGCAAGTGTTGCACAGATTCTGAAAACAGTTCCACCCCTTCCAGCAAGTTTATTTTAATGCCATTTCACTGCTGACAGCACATGTCATGTCTGAGAGCCTCAAAGCTTCCTCTTCTGTCACAACTGCCGGCGCACAGAAAGCCACAGCTCCGCTCCCAGAGGCAGCAGCTCAACAGTCCTAGGCCTGCTGGGCTTTCTCCTCTCCCTGGGAATGCACCTTTCCCATGCACACAACACCAATTGGAATAAAGAGCAGAAACAGTAAAAGAAACTACCAATTCAGCTTGGGACTGGACACTAGAGGCCACCACAGCACTAGAAAATGTGGCCATAAACGTGTTTACCAAAGGGCAAAGCTGCCCTTGGCAGACGTGTCACCGCCTGGCCTTGCAGGCTCATCCAGCCCACCAGGACTCTTCCTGCTCCACCCGGCGCTCTCGTCGGGCACGAAAGGATTTTGGGAATTTGGCAGCAGCTGCCTTGGCTCAGGAGCGGCCAGGATTCCCCGTCACGACGACCTGCCGGCGTGCAGTGACCCGGTGCTCCCGGGACACGCTCGCCACGGTGCACGCGCAGCTCAGTCCGGCTGGACGTGCCGGGGGGGTCCAGCTGCCTCCACGCTCGGGTGGAAAACACGGCCACGCTGCGGGTGACTCAGTGCCCCGTGCGGCTGCGGCGGGCTCGGACTTGCCTCGAGGACGGGGTTGGATTGCAGCAGCCGATCCTTCACCGTTTCCACCTGCTCGCTGGCTGGGCAGGTCACGGCGTAATACTGCAGGATCTTCTTGGTGGCCTCCGTCTTGCCCGCTCCGCTCTCCCCGGATATCAGGATGCACTGGTCCTTCCTCTCCATGCGCAGCGAGCGATACGAGTTGTCCGCAATGGCATAACTAGGGAGCAAAGATAACGGGGCATTACTTCATTTCCACAACTGCAGGGCAGAGGCTGCTTGGCTAAGACTATCCCGTACTGCAAACCCTTAGCAGAGAGAGCTCAGAGAGCTACACATCCATGGGCTGGGTTGGAGCTCCTTATGGCTTCTCCACACAGGTGACAACAAGGGAAATCCCTGGGGACACCAAGATCTCCATACACATCTTTTTAGGCCAAGATTCTGCAGGATGATGGCATAAATCTGTGAAATTAACTACCTGCCCTTTATGGAAACGGCTTTCACGCTACTAAAATCATTTGGCAGTGGAAGTGCAAGGCTATAAAAGGGAAAGATCAGAGCTATTTGCTCTCTGACCATTTCCATGTGCTCAGACGAGGAGAGTTTCTGTAGAAAAAGCCTAGCTGGTGTAGATAATCTTACTTTTCTAAATAAACACCGTCTCTCAGTATTCTTCCCTGCAAGAGGAAAATATTTTACATTCAGGCAGCTTGTTTTCCACTGATCTTTATTCTAGCTTGTCCTTTAAGACTCTCGGAAAGTCTTTGCTGTGCTGTACTATGGGGGTGGCTACTGCAGCGTGGCTCCCGCATAGCCCAACCTCCTGCAGCTCCCCTGGGATTGCAGGAAGGATTGGATTAAGTCGGCACAGACGGATAAGCAGCCTAGAAGCTACACAAATCACCATCCAACCTGGACCAAATGCAACCCAAACCAGCCAATGCTTCCCCACCTGCATACAGCCAGTGCTGTTGCTGCTATCCCTCAACCCAGGCGCCAGAATTTGTCTTTTTTTTCCTCACTTCTTTTTCTCTTTTCCTCCCTATGGCCAAC